GTAAAACCCAGCAAGTGCTCACAGCTAGGGACAGCAAAGAGGGCAAACCGAGCTCAAACAAACATCCAACGGGCTCAGAGGCAGGGACAGCAAAGAGGGCAAACCAAGCCCAAATAACATCCAACAGGCTCACGGGCAGGGACAACCAAGAGGGCAAACCGAGCTCAAGCAAATATCCAACAGGCTCACTGTCAGGGACAGCAAGACAAACAATTCAAACCTGGTTTCCAAAATGTAGACTCCAAGTGGGAACAGCAAAACACCACTAAAACAAACACGAGGAAGCCCACATTGTTGACCACGGGTAAGAACAGTAGAACAAACAAAGGGACAAAGGCACAAACAGATGCCCTCGGATAGGAGCAGCGAAGGGGAAGCCACCATCCCCAACACAAAGGACAACAGCATAAACAGGTGCTCTCGGGTAGGAGCACCAAAGGGGAAGCCACCAACCCCAACACAAAGGGACAAGCAACATAAATAGGTGCTTTCGGGTAGGAGCAGCAAAGGGGAAGTCACCAGCCCCAACACAAAACTCTCCAAAAACCTCAAAACAAAAGTGAAATCATGCATTCATATTTCAAATAGCAGGAGAGCAGAATCGAGCCCCCAAAAAACAAACTCCAAAAAGCTTAAAAAACAAATTTTTCATTCAACATGCATTTCAAACAGGGAGGCTGAGACAGAGAGTATAACCAGGCCCCCAAAACCAATTCCACAAGGCCTTAGAAAAAAAATAGATTTTAGTTGCACATGTATTTCGAATAGAGAAGGCAGCAACAGGGAGCAAAACCAAACAAGACCTTTGTTCCCCCAAAGTAAAATTTTAGAAGCCTCAACATTAAATCAGTTCAGCAAGGAAAACCGCAGCCCACAAGACTAAAACAACCCTCAAACTTCAACATATAGGTAAAGATGTGATAAGAACATAAGGAAGAAGTTTGCACATGCATAAGAATTGAATCGTGTCTTTCGTGAGCCTAAATTTCCAGCTAAATATCATAGAGTATTTAGAAAAGGTCCAATAGTATGCAGCATTTAAACAAAAGCCAAAAGAAACATTAAAGACTTAACAGCTAAAGAACAACCTCAACATGATGTACCAGCCAAACAACTAAACCCTCGCATGCATGCATTCCCTGTCGAGCAAAGGAGAGAACAGAGAAGTAGAGAAAGTACCTTGCCGGAACTTCTTTCAAACAACAAAATAAAGCCTGGAAACTCTCAAAAGCTAAGTCCAGAAGTTCCCAATTGAGAAGAAATTTTGGCAGAGCCTCCCCCAAGTTTCGAATTTTCGTAACCCCTCAGAAACTCCTCCCATAGACTTTTATAAGAGTATAAGAAGGAAAGAAAAACTCGTGGGACTTACCTGGGTGAAGCAACCCCCAGTAGAAAGAAGATCACGCCGCAGCCAAGGTCACAGAGGGAGGAGCTATCGGGAAGGAGGAGAATTACCACATTTGTGACCCAAGAAACAAACGCACAGAGTCAACCTACCGCGAATGAGTTCCCGCTCAGCGAGACGAAGAAAAAAATACTTCAGGAAGGCGCTACTCGGGCAGAGGATGTCGAGAGAGATGAGGTCAACTTCTCGTTACGCGAAGAGGAACCAACTAGAGGGAAGGCGCGGCTAGGGCTCAATTCGGGGATGGAACCAAGGGGGCAAACCGTGGCTTGGGATCCAAGAACATAACCCCTCCCCCACTTAATATATATCTTACTAATATAATATAAAGTATTTAAATCCCCCGATTCGTGCACTTCCGCTAGTGCACGAGGCCACATCAAAAATGGGTGTCATTTCTAGCTAAATTAGACGTCATGGACGCTCAGGTGCAGTCCATTTCGTTCTTTGGGGTCGCCCGGACGACTGTGCCGACGGTCGGGTCGAAAATATGTCAAATTTAAATTTCTTTAAGAAAATCGCTCGTGATTGATCGATTGATCCAGCAATTGATTCGAGTTTGATCAATCGTGAAGCCTTCTACAGGTGCAAATGATGTGAATTTCAATAATTACGTGCATCAACGAGTGAATTGTAGTATTTGTGCATCGTGAAAGCAAGCGGAGGTCGCAATGGGTTTTCCTATGATTTCAGATCCTACAGGTACTCGACTTGAGCTTCGTCACGCTGGTTTTAATTGACTCAACTAAGTGTTGAGGATATAAAAACCGGTCATATGAAACTATGAGAAGTCAAGAAGTAGTTCGAATTTCTAGTTGGTGTGGGTCCCAGATTAGTCTTTTAAGAGAGTCGGTAGGAAACCCTAAGACTATATCCTAGGCTCTAAGAAGAGTAAGAGACCTCACTGAGGTCAACAGTGTGATATTGAAGTCTTAAGTCTAAGAATTCACTACCAAAAGGTCTCAGTAGAGAGAAATTTTATTGAAAATCACTGATACTTATAGCAAAATTCTATGTCGTGACTCCAAGATCATGACATATGATGTTCAACTTCAGAGAACTATCAAGATTTGATTCTTAAAGAATTTATTTCTAACAATAATTGCTATATAGTGGTTAATACCATATGGAGTTTATCTTGAAAAGATAACTAATCTCTCTTAAAGAATCCCATTATGTATGCCCATTATCTAGCTTGATGATTTTGAGATTTCATCGTTGACACTATGGCCACAAATTTATTTGTTCAAAGCTATATCAGGAGACCTCGGTCTATTGATGTATATATGCATATCTTGCATTTTAGGCTACACATCAAAAGAATTCCCACCTTTGAAGATAATTCTTATTGTAAAGAATAGTTTGTTGGTGCTTTTGAATATATTAATCCTAATTGAGCCTTTTGCACCAAAAATGCACAATGTTGAAGCTCCCTCAACAAGAAAAAAACAATAAAAAAAGGCAAAGGAGAATTGAACTGAGAGCTCAACAACGATTGTCCGAGTAACAGATTGATCAATAAGCTTTAGTCTCGGAAGCGAGTATTTCTACCCACAACTAATTCAAGAATTTGAAATTAGTTAAATTCAACAGGTTTGTATTTCTACCCACAATTGGGAGCCTCATCTACCCACAACTAATTCAAACATTTGTATAAACTTTTCCAACTTAACGACATATCTCAAATATATTTTCCTGGTTGCTCATACCTCGAGCACCTCCACCAATTATATTGATCTCCTCGAATCAACATCTTCAATTGTTTATATTAATGCATAAAAAGATACTTAATACTCTTCAATTACATATGATAAATTCCAAAATAAAAATTAAATCCTAATCTTAAATTTTCTTCATTCTTTCTTCTGCTTGAATTCAACGATCTCAAATATCCTCATCTCACAATCATTTGTTCTTCAATCCTAACTTAACGCCATATCTCAAATATATTTCTTTGGTTGGTCATTCCTCGAGCACCTCGACCAATTATATTGATCTCCTCTAATCAAAATCTTTTATATTAATTCATAAAACGATACTTAATACTTTTCAATTAAATATGCTGAATTCCAAAACAAAAATTAAATCCTAATCTTAATATTTCTTCATTCTTTCTTCTGCTTAAATTCAATGATCTCAAACATCCTCATCTCACAATAGTTTGTTCTTCAATCCTTGATTTTTACTTCATAAAATTAATATTAACATGATAACTTTCAATTAAATTTATATTCTTTAATTTAAAACATAAAATCCCAACCTTACCTTTTCCACTGCTCAATTCAACCTTCACTGTTTTCTTCTCTCGGACATGCCTTGCACAACTTTTTCCCTACACTCCAAGTTCCCTCCTTTGCCCCTTGTTTCATGGTACGACTCATCTCTCGCAAGTGAATTCGCATAGGACACCTGCAAGGTGGAAGGCCCATTTGACTTCGGCCTCAACTTTTGATTCCCAAGCACGCAGCATCGCCAAAGTTGCTCTCCAAGCACGATGTTCATCCTGCACAACCACACCGCAAAGCAGCAGCAGTATCTCTCAGCCTGTGTCAACAGGTAATGCCAACCTTTTTCATTCATGTGAATTCGACGTTGTCTGCCATGCACAAGACGCATGTAAGTCTCTGTCCCTCATTCGAGCATCTTGAAACCGACATCCTTCCCTAACATTTTGACTCTCATCCAACTCTATCATCTATCTGATTCAAAAGGAGACATTTGTCTCCTAATGAAGAAACAGTTGAGATGATTTCTCATTTAAACCCATCTTACCAATTAAAAAAAATTTCATTTTTTTTACATTACAGTTATCACACCTATCCTATAGTATTTTAAGCCACAATCTTAACTTTTTTTCTTATACTTCCTTTATTTTTGCCCATCATTTAAATCCATAAAATCATTGAAGCAACTCTTTACTTTAGTCTCATAATGTACTGACGCTCGGACACATCTTTCAAACATATTTGCTCTTTATCTGCCTGCAAAACTACAACACAAAAAAGGACATTGACCTTAGCATAACTAAATTGTCAGTACATATCAACTTATTTTTTTTATTTTTTTATTTTCTTTTTGAAACAAGGATGAAGTTGGGTGTAAGTAAGTGTATAAAAATACCAATGTCGACAGGATTCAGCGAGTTTGGGAAGATACGGATATAATAGGGCTGGAACATTTAGTACATCCATGTAAAATGCAATTTCATGCCCATACAATGTACATTCATAATATGGTATGTACCTAAATAGTTTAAAAGAAATTGAGTGCACCCCAAGGTACTTGTACCTTGTAACTAGTATTACAATTGAATTCAAGAGAGAGCATAAATTCAACATTCTATATTAAATAAAAGGAGTCCTAAGTTCTTGACTGTTTAAATAAGTATATTATTCAGTTTTAGATAACATACTTCAATATCCCTGCCTGTTCCTATATCACAATTGAATTAAGAATAGTTTCATACAACTTAGATTTATGTGAGATAGCATTTTATTTATAGAAACAAGGAGGTAAATAGCTTTCCTTTGACACCACACTTTTAATGATCATGCCTTATATGATTAAACTATTTGAAAATATCCTAAAGCATTACCTTAGCTTTGTACTTTTCGTCCTGTGAAACAACAGTGAACAAGAGTTCCCTTCCTGGCCTCGTAACAACATATGTATTTACCTGTTAGAAGATCAACTTAAGAATGCAAAATAAAATAAGTAAAAGTAAAACTATAATGTTTCAAATATAAAATCCAAAGGAGAAAATAAAGAAGATGCTGAATCTCAAACTTTAAGATGACTGTGTCCTAGAAACCACTAAAGCAAAAAAGATGATTTACCATTGCTAATGTGTAAATACCGATTAAGAAACAAAAACTATCCATATCATATATGGCATGGTCTGCAGCAGGACATAGAATTATGTGGATCAAAACTGTTATTAATAATTGATTGAAAATCAAATCAAGCTCAAGTGGAAAAGAATGAACCGATCCATGAGCCATAAAATAGGATTTGTCATTCTATCAATCCAATTTTGACCCGTGCAGGAATGTATCACCTAGCTTGAGACCAGATCACACTAATAATTAATACAATATAAGATAGTTGATATATCATACAAAATATAATATGTGTTATGCAACAGCACATGATACATATTAGAAAATAATATCAAAAAAATCATAGTATCTGGAGTATATAGCTTTGGGACATATCCATATGTACTAATATAATTGCATGTGCACCAATGCACATGAATGTAATTAAAAAATAATAATTTATGAATTTCTTAACTAGTGTTTAATTTACATATTTTTAATAAAATGATCAAAAGAACACGTTTATCCCTATAAGTAATTGTCAAAACTATCAAATTAACGAAAATTTTAAGCATTTATATTAAAAATCATAGTTAATGAAACATATTATTATTTTATAATTGACAATAAAAAACATTTTTTTCTCAAAGGAATTCATAGTAACATAAAAGTAATGAAACTACATTTGGAAGGATACATTAAAATTCCATTGCAAAAATGAAATTTGTCATATGTAAACATTGTAAATTCAAAGGATAAAAGTGGGAACAAAACTAGTAATAATTTATTTACAAAATAATACCTCATGCTAATAAAACAAAGAAAAAAAATCTACTCTAATAAGTCGTTATAAAACTCACAATCAGCAAGGTTCTCTGAGAAGAGTTATGGTTGTGTGTGATTCGTATTCTCATAATGTCTTTTATGAAACAATAATTTTTTAATAATCGTTATTGATACTATACTATTAAATATGTATAGTAAAATCTTAATACATTCTGCCAATCCCTTGGAAGGAGATTGTGACATTGAAACCAGCATTTTTCATGGCAAGGAGAACACAAATGATATGGCAAAACAAATAATAAATAGATATTGATATAACTGAAAAATAAATTATTGTAAATAGTAAAGAATTTATAATTTTAAAAGATATATGTATTTTTATACCAAAATGTTTTAATTTTGAAGCCATTTTTACTTCACCATGGACATTCTAACTTTTTCATTAATGTGTAAAACTCAAAAGGGAAAAATAAACAATATCGCAACACAACAATATTATAGCATAGGTACGTCTAAAGTACATATAATTTAAGCAGAAGAAAACCACGTAGAAGAAATATTTTCCCCCTCACTACCGCCAAGACATGTTTTTGAAACTCCATAATATGCAGTAGAGAGACCTTTCAGTGGAGGAGTTCACAATTCAGTTCGACCACTTATAGTTGAAGTGTGACTTGACAAAACCAAAGGAGAATACAATAGTCAGATATCATGGGGGCTTGAAGCCTAGTATTAGCAATGTGGTGCAATTACAGTCGTATTGGATGTTAGAGGATGTCCAGAAACTGGCATCGAAAGTGGAAAAGAAGCAAAAGCAGAGCCGATAACCACCCTTCCAGCAGTCTATCTACCTCCCTACTAATCTTCCAGGTTGTTGCCAGCCCTCCTACAGCCTCCCTACAAGTTGCCGCCGATCTGCTGCCCAACCAACCCGCCAGCGACTGTCTTGCCTCCCTGCTCCTCTTCCAAGTTGTTGTCAGCCCTCCTACAGCCTCCCTATAGGTTGTCGTTGATCTGCTACCCTTCCAGCCACCCCACCGGCAGCTGTCCAGCCTCCCTACTGCTCTTCCAAGTTGTTGTCGGCCCCCTTACGACCTTCCTGCTGCCCTTCCAAATCGCCACTCCAGCACTACGTCTCTGGACTCCCTCCTTGTCGAGCTTGTTTCTACTTTATTTGTTAAGTCTTTGTTACAATGTTCATTCTATGTTTTGGTTTATGTTGTGTCTTTTCCTTTTATTTCAATTCATCGTTATAACCGTCCTTTTAAGTTATTAATACATTCGTGTCTTGCGTCGTGGTTAGGGTTAACTCTGGTATCATTTGGTATCAGAGCTAGCCCAACCATAATCCCATCGTAGGATTTTCTAGTGTTTGCCCCTACTCAATCGACCACACCAATTTTTTTTTCTTTCTTTCGTTTATTTTCTCTCTTCTTTCTTTGTTCCTTCATTTAATTCCTTTAAAAGATCCCAAACCATCAACCATGCCGCCAAGAAGATCTATGCCAAAGCCTACTCGGGATGAGATACTACAAGAGCTTCGTCGTCTTCAGCAGAGGCTTATGGATATTGAAGAGGAAATCCAATGAGAGGATACCCTCGACCGTGATATGGAAGGTAGAAGGAAAGAATGAGAAAATATAAAGATGAAGCGAGAAATACAACTTCAGTTCCTACTAACTTACTACCCCCAAAAGTGGCAGACTCTAGTTTTGAAAATGGAGAGACCGTCTCACCAAGCAATCATCCTTGCAACTATCCAGCAAAAACAATCCGCAAGTCTGTCACAGCCAAAAGATGTTGCAAGTGTCATGGATTTAGACATGTTGAAGCAGAATGTACAACAAGGGGAGTGATCTACTTCACCGAACAGGGTGTCATCGACAAGTTGGGTACAGACACTACAACACTGAAGAGCAATTTGAACGAGAATTTTCATCCAATGACGTCTTCCCCCATGGAACCCCCTTGTTCGTGGATACATATAATGACTTTCCTCCATGTGATCAAAAGGAACATGCAACTTTCGATAAGACTGTGCTTCCTACTCTATTAGAAGATAGAGAACTTATTATTGGGACATACAAAGGTCACACAGATCAAAAGACCTCAGAATTTAAAATTTCAGTGGATGGTCTTAATAAAGACCTTCCAGCCCTCACCTTGAGCAATTCACAAGAAGAGACGAAAGATCAGGGTGAAGCTCTTGTTATTAAAATGAAGTAAAAGATGTCAGTTCCCCAAAACTTCAATAGTCAGGGGGAAGACCAAGAAGATAATAAGAATCACCTATCAACCAAACTCTTGCAAACTCTTAAACCCGCTGAGACCCAGCTTGTCATAGATGAGAAGCATATGAGATATTTACTTATTCAAAATTTGGCTTGGGAGAGCCTACGTCAATGTGTACCTTCAGCTTTGATTATGCCAAACCAAAACAAATTGATAGGGAGATATGCTAGCAGGTGGGAAAAGCTCTTTAGACACTTTGGGAGCCATGGTAGTCATCAGTAGGATCCATGACTGACCGCAAAGAATCAAAAGCTTCGACAAATGAAATCAAAGCTCTTGCAACCCCGGAAGACCGACGCAGGGCTCGAGGGAGGACTGATCGGTCCTCAAGGAAGGGGGCTTTCTTCCCCTTCTTTTTTTCTCTCTTTATCTTTTTCCTTTACTTCCCCTTTCCTTTTCTTCCTCCTAGTTCATTCCTCACTTTTCTTTTCTCTCAGCCTCAACCTTTCTTTCCTAAAGCACTTCTTATTTTAAATCCTTCCAAAAATCTAAAATCATCATTATATTTTATTATACTTTCTAATTTTAAATATTTCCTAAAATATGAAATCCCGATTATATTTTATTTTCTTTCCTTATTTTCATTACCTAAAATAAATCTAGCCAGTTTATAAATATGAAATGATGTGCTTAGATTTAGGGGTCTTATTTTTTATATCTGAATTCAGATTTTAGCCTTGACATTTTGCCTTCGAGTGTTGCATCCAACTTCGAGGTGGTGCTCCAGCTGTCCCTCATCCGAGAAGGTGATCGCCTCCAAGGGTTCGAGTGGTGCTCTGGCTGTAGATCAAACCCCGTTGAAGCATTTCTCTTACCATACTTATGTTTCCCTGCTACCATTTCAGGATCCAACCACCGCAAACCCACTTCCATAGTTGTCAGCCACCTTCCTGCTCTCGTTCAGCCACCGCAACCCCTCCAACTTGTTGCCCAACCCTTTCAAGCCTTTCCCGGCAGCCTGCCAGCACCCCTACAGCAACTACTTTGCTGTCCCAGCCTTTCCCATTAACAGTACTTCCTCGCTTGTTTTCCACCCTCCAAAAGTGCTATCGAACCTTCACAGTTGTTGTCCTACTTCTTCCAAAGCAACCCCCACCTCTCCAGCATTCACCAACCCACCCAGTCTCTAACAACGTCCCTGCTTCTCTCCAGTTGTGGTTTGACGCTGTTACCACCACCAACCTCCCATCCTACTTCCATCGCAGTCCCTCACAGCAACAGCAAATCCAGCCTCCACTCGTCGTACTCCCTCCTCATCAAGCATGTTATATCTTCTTTGTTGAGTCATTAATTGTAATCCTTTGTTTTGTATTTTTATTTTGTGTGTTGTCTTTCATTATTTCGAGTCTTCATTATAGCCTTGTTTTAAGTAGTAAAATTATGTCTAGCGTCATGATTTGGGTAAACTCTGATATCACTCACCAAATTAAATCAACAGAAAACAATAAAGTTGTATTATAGTGGAAAAATCAAATCTATAATAAAAATTGAGTTCGAAGATAAATCAAATTTTGTGATCGGAATACCTCCTAAAGGGAGAGAGAGATGACGTCACAACCTTTTGTATTTCCATCTTGCTTCTCACATATAATTCAATACGACATGCAAAAGGCGTAACAACATGAAATCGAAACCTAAGATGTTTTTCATTTGCAAGATGAGAAGGATCAAAACTAAGCCTCAAAATAGGGAATAAAATCTCACAAAATAAAAAATAATTTATAAATATTACATAAATCATTGATATATTGATTTAATTTATTATCATAAAAACTAAAAG